CAACAAAGAAGCAAAGAGTTTTACGGCGTTATAGGAAAGTCAAAGGGAATTTAACAATATTGGTGATAAGAAAAGAAATATCTTTCAATGGGAAACGATGAAAAGGTTTGAAAAAAATGATAGTGATACTATTGAAAGCAAAATCATTTCATGATAGATTATTTGTGTGCGTGTGTGTGTTTGTATGTGTGTGTGTGTATGTATGTGTGTGTGTGTTTGTCTGCATGTGTGTATAAAAAAACTACAAATAACATATGATAGAGAAAAAGGTCATATGATTCTGAGGTCGCGTCCCACTTCGATTCGACCTAAACAAACCCTGGCAACTCATCTTAAAACAGGTATATAAAATGACGAGGATGGAATAGCCGTGTCTACTAAACCCGTCTCGCAAATCATTCCATTGACAAAAAAGGAAAAAGAAGAAGAGAGAAAAAATATAGGATTGTGTATCTCTTTTTTTTTCGTATCCGGAAGGAAGACAATGGCAATTCGTCTGTCCCCTTTTCGCTGAGTCACGATGACGCGGCGAAATTTGACGGTCGCCGGACAAAGGCCTCGGAGCTGAAGTGCGAATTGTGAAGGACGCACACCCACGCGACGTCCAGGCGGGAGGGACTCTCGTTGCCTCGAAATGTCAATGTCGAAACTTGGAAATCCGAAAATCTGAATCCGGGATTCGAATCTAGAGCATCGATTACGGCGTCCAGAAGCGACATATAAACCTGACGTTTAGATTCGACCTAGACCTAAGATAACCCACACAACAACACGGAAAGGCCACAGGAAAAGGGGACACCAACAGGAATAATCGCCTTATGAAACAGTCTGATTACATCCTGGTAAGTGAAGAACATAAACACCAGGTGAATGATTCAAAATCCGTTACGGGAATAACCAAATTATTCATTAAATGGCACTGGAAAATACTAAAGAAGTAAAGAAAAAGATAAGAAAACTCAATCTAGAGCTACTGAATGATAACACAAAAATACCGAGGCAACAAGCAGAATTAAAAGCTACGAAGATGCACAAGACCAGTAGAATGCAATAACAACATATGCAGAATTTTAAGAAGTTTTGGTTATAAAAAGAAAAGAAGATGCACTAGAACAACCATGTAAAACTGACGTTAGAAGAGCAGATTAAAAAGAAGAAAAAAAGAAAGAAAGAAAAAAAAGAAAAGAAAAGGAAAAAAAATATATATATGTATATATATACATATATATATATATATATATATATATATATATATATATATATATATATATATATATATATACGTGATCATCGCCTCCAGAATATAAGAAATATATACATATGGATATATATATATATCTATGTATGTGTATATATATGTATACATATGTCTATATATATATACATATATGTGTGTGTGTGTGTGTAAAGATAAGTGTAACCATTATTCCAGAACAAAAATATATAACATTAAATAAATAGATATAAAATTACAGAATCCGAATCAACAATTTAAAAAAATCTAAATGATGGTCAAGGAGAAAAAATCGCAGAAGAGGCCGAAGAAATGCAGAAATAGTCAATAAGACCCAAGCCAAAGGAAGGCATACTAGTAGAAATGCCAAATAGGGGAATGGCAGAAGATGAGACAACACCATTAAACATTGTTACAGTATGCTTCAAGAAAGCTCCCGGTGATTTTCAAATATTCATAGGACAGGAACTAGAGAAAGCCATAAAAATCCGTGAAAAATTATCCAAGTGCTGGTATGGGTGAGTTGGTTGCAGAGCAATTCAAATATGGACAAATACTTTCAAATGAGGGAATTGATCAAATCTTGCAGCACAGCAAGACAGAAGGTAGTTAATGACGGAATGCTTATCCCAATACCAAAGACCAGAAGAAAAAACTAAACAAATAAAGGCCCTCTTGGACACATAAAGGAAATAATCACATTAAGCATGTCGAGAAAAATCCTAGCATTAGGCATGATCTATAAAGCATATGACACTCCCAACAACACCCCCGTCACTCAACCAAGCAGCACAAAGAGAGGGTAGAGGTTAAAAAAAAAATGCCCTAGATAGTATGAATGCACTCGATACAGTTGTCAGAGGGAGACTATTTAAAGACAGTTCCTCCAATCTCAGGAAGGAACAAGTTGGCAACTCATCCTTGTACTCTAATTCGCTGGCTCTTGTTCATTCTAATCCGATGACACTTAATAATACTTACATATGTTTGGTATTCTTAAAACTCACCTACATTTTTTTCCATTGCATTACGCCACTATGTTATCATCTCTGAAAAGGGACTTGGCGAATCAGAGTGCTCCAGAGCCTAGAGTGAGTTGCCAATTTCCTCATTTCTTGTGAAAGAGATGAGACAACAAGTTAGCAAGGGTAGCGACAAGGGAGAAAGGTTTCAGACAAAAGTGGGACTAAACCTAGTCCTAGTTACCATTTACTTAGCTAAGGCGCTTTGAGGAAAAATGAACGACCACATTTATGCATCACGAACCAGTTACGAAGACTTCATACCACTCGCTCTGGTAGAACACCACACTTGAAGACGGAATAACTGACCAACAATATACAGATGATACAGACAGGGCAACCACTGCAAAATACAGAACGATTTACATAAAAGGAAATTGTACCCAACAAATCTGAATAAAGAAAGAACTACAAACCAACACTGGTAAAATAGAGCAATATACTGTAAAAGGAGATGATGATGATGAGGCAATCCTGTTGGCAGCCTCGCCGACACAGAATAAGACATAGAACAAGAAAACATTCATCCATAACTGCTTTCAACCAGACTATATATAAAAAAAACAGCGAGCAACAAAAAAGTAGTCCTGGAAACGAGAATAAGGCGAGACTACGTACATAATGCCACCTTTCTATGTGAAAGCGAAAGCCTGACCTTCACTTAGAAAACATCATCAACACCAAAAAAACATACTAAGAAAACAAATGAACGTCAAGGGGTCATACATTATCAGTATCAAGGACTTCTGGAGACGAACGAAGGAAATAGAGCGGAGTGAAAAAGTCAGACAACGAAGACTTGGAGATGGGTAGGAAAGCGCCAGCACGCAAGGACCTCAAAGGCTTTTAATCCGAGGTCTGGGCTCTGTCATCGCAGTCGCATCCTGGCAACTTTGCAGTAAGACCAGCAAAAATATAAATAGAAAAAAAGGTAGATAAGATATGAATAAATTAATTAATAAAATTATAAAACATGTAGATTAGTCACGTAACTCGAACCTTACTAAGCTGAACTGCGCCTTAAAACTCGAATGGAGGTTCCAGCTCATAGCCCTTCGTGGACCAGCCATCATTTCCGCTGCCAACTTGAGGGCCAACAAAGGGACGGTTTAAATCTGTCTGACTTTCCTCATTTATAGAAGTATCTCTCCATAACAGTAGCTATATTGCTAGTAATAACGAAACCATTATCATTATGAAGTTAAAACTGAAAGTCTCTCAACCATTTATGACATTCCTTCATAACGATTATGATCTCACAATAATTCTAGTTGT